TAGATTAATTTCACTTAGGAAAACTCTATTAACCCCCTCCCCCCCCCCTCGCTCTTTCTCCATCTTTCCTTTCCTGCGAGTCTCCCATACCTTCCACTTCTGTCTTATCTGACCCTCCATCTCAATAATCAAGTGGTTTTGTTTTAAGGATTTAAAAGGTATAGAGTAAGCACACACGCACACAAAAGGTATAGGGTGCGTGTGCATGCACACACACAAAACCAAAGAAGGGAATGGCACTATGAAACTGGATCCCAATGGACTCAGAGAGAAGCCCGTGACTGCTGCCTGCCCTGTAAATCCTGAAAGACCTTTCCCCCAAAGGCCCGGAGGAGGAAGGAATTGCAAGGAGTACATAAAAGGAGGGGAGAGGAGAGATTAGAAGAGAGGAAAAATGGATGGAAAGCAAAATAAAGCACTGGTGTGAACAAGACAGCAAGATAAACAGCCAAAGGCAGATTGATGGAGCAGTAAAGATCTTTCTATAAAGCAGTTAATGCTCTAATAAAAAATCATTTTTACTATCAAGCTATAAACTGGCTTCTCTCTATCGCTGCCCAGGCTCCAGTGCCAGACCTGGTCTCCAGGCTCTCGCCTGGGCAGAGGGAATTCAGAGCACTGGGAACTCCTACTCTGAGGTGCTCAGTTACTGCTGGGATCAGCATGGTACTCCCAGCCCAGCACAGGGGTATAAGGACAGAATATGAAAGTATTCAGGAATTCAGCCTCACAACGCCACAGGCAACTCCACTGGTGAAGACGAGGAAGCAAGACACCACATAGGCTAATAAACTAATTGAGGTCTTACTGAGAGCTAAGCAAAAAACTGAAAAATCTCCCATACGCCAGCTCAGTTCACCAAGCACAAGGTCATCCTGGCAATGGAGGTGCACTTATTTACAGAGGCAATCTCATCCTTCCCAGTCCAGCTAAAATCCAGACAAGCAGTATGGCCACCATGGTTGTGGGGGCACTGCCTCCCCAGCACGGCCTCCAGGAACTTCCAACTAGCATGGGACACATCCCATTGATTGTCCCACACATGGGAATTGATTGCTTTTAAATTGATTGCTTTCAGCCAGTTTCATTTATCTGTGCTTTACTATGGCTTTGAGTCTGTGGCACGCTTGCTTCACATTTTCAAGTCTCTTCAAACCCACAAGGAGTACAATTTTATTTGCCCATTTCTAGTTCAAAGCTGGGACTCTCAAATAGTCATATGACTCGAGGAGTTGAGGCTTGAAGAATAACACCACATATTACCAGACTCATAATCAATTGGCAAGGGTTGACATCATTGTAAGCATGCTCACCCACACGAAGATAACAATATAGCATGGTCTTCCTGCAAAATCCCTTCCTGGGGTCAAGGCATGTAGAAAAACACTTGCAAAAAGAATGTGTCCCTTTAAAGAAAAATACCAATGATTCTTGCTTGGCAAGGTGGCATCACTGTTGCAGAGGCATCAGATCCTCAGCAGATGGGGAGCCTGGCATCCTGCAAGCACCAAGCTGTGCATCACAGAGTAGCAGGGGAAGAGGCCACTTGCACTAACAGGGAGACGCACAGGAGGCTTGGCAAGAACAGCAACAGCCCGTGCATCTGCTACAACACTCCTGGTGCCAGCCAGAAGGGGTCTTCTCCAAGTGCAGGAGGCAGCACCAGTCTCAGCAGACCTTACCTAGCAAAGAGCAATCTACCATCATCCCGTGTCACTGCAAGCTAGAGACCTGAAAACCAGGGGCAAGTCTCTGTCTCACTTGGGACAAGTGACTACAGATTAGCGCAGGCCCTTACGATGGACCTGTGTGTAGGAGGCAACAGGCACAACTACTGCCTAATTGGCACATGGGGACCATCCCTAAATCCCCAGAGCTCTGACCACCAAAACACAGGCCTTGACCCACTAAGAGCTCTTTTGGCTGTTAGTCATATGTCCCTTATCCTAGATGTGAGCCCAGCCACGGGACCCTGTCACTCACAAAGCTAGGATTCACACATTCGGGGGGAGGGAGGGGGGTTTCCACCGGTACGAAGGAGAGGTAAACGGCTGTATCCCACTTCTACCTCTGCATGCCAGAATCCACCTCCTTGACCCTGCATGAAACATGCTCTGCAGTGGGCTGGTAGCCTGCTGAACACCAGAAGGTTTCCAGCCCGTACACCCAAGCCAGACCAGAGTCCCTACACCAGCGAGCTGAGGCCTCCGGTCAGCAGGACTCACTGCCACAATGCAGGGCATCACATGCTGCAGTGTCTCCATAGTCCACCCACACTTGGGAATCTGAGAACTTGGTGAACACATGACGCCCAGGGAGGGATTCATGCAGCCCATCACACGTTGTTAACAGCAGGCATCTTGGAACCCCAAAGGCCTCGTCTCCAAGAGAACGGTCCAAACCGATCAGCGCACCATCTGTCTGCAAGCACACCTCAGGCAAACCCTGCTCAAGCTAACACCAACACAGCCTGGAGTCCAGCAACTGAACGCAAAGAGCAACAGCTAATCCACGACAAAGGAGAAGGTGGGAACTAGTAGGCAAATACATTTGGGAAAATCACAGGCAGATCCCAGGCAGCACAGGAAGGGAGCATGGGTCGAACTTCACCTGGCACAAGGGGTACCTGCAAAGCTGTTTGCTACCTCACCAACCTGAGCCCTGGAAAGGAAGAGCAGTATTGCAGCTCCACTACCTGGGAGAAGGCCATCTCCACCCCACCAGGGTGAAGAGCATCTCTCCTCAATACATGCATTTCCTTCTCTTTCCCTGGTAAACAGGCAGCCATGATCATGCTTGTGCTTTTGTGCATCCAGCATGCAAAGCTATTACTGGACAGGGGGCTTTCAACTCAGAGAGCAGTCAAAAGTGCCCCTTGAGGGACTGTCAGTGAACAGAGCATCACAGTGC